AGAGAGAGAGAGAGAGAGAGAGAGAGAGAGAGAGAGAGAGAGAGAGAGAGAGCTTGGTGACATTTGGATCCAGACTCGACGTTGTGCTTCAGACATTTTGACGAGGGATTATTTGCCTTGTAACGAAGACTTGGTGTGGACGACTTTCCCATCTCCCCCTCCTCTTCTTCGTCTGTTCCCCTCCTCTTCTTCGTTGGTTCCCATCTCCCCCTCCTCTTCTTTGTCTGTTCCCCGTGTGGTGAGAATGATGTATGTTTAGTCGGCATTGCAACATTGATTGGGCTCGTTATTGGTATTCTAGCATTCTGCTGTGCTGTCTTGTACTACGTGAGGGAGGTCAGTCTCGGTCAGGTCAGGACTTGTATCTAAGTCTTCTTAAAGCACCATTTTTGTATGTATCAGGATGTACACTGCTTGTTGAGATTTCACTAGCATTGCATTGTCCATTCAGTCCTTTTTATCACATTGCGGATCCTCGGTTATATATGTACATCGCCCAACTGGGCATGTAACACGGGGGACCCCGTAGAAGCCACATCCGTGCTCAAGCCTCCAACGAGGCAACGCGCGGGAGCTGCACCCACGAGCAGGTGCAGTGAGAAAATGAGAAAAGATTACACACAATGGAAAATATTACGAAGAAGATAATACGAGATTTAGTTTCATGGCGCGGTCAAGTCCTCCTAATTGTTCCCTCAGCGAACACTGCCGGGGAATAGCCAATCCTTCCACTCATTACACCACTCAGATCGAGGCTTTTTCACTTTCTACTTCGCAAGTTTAAGTACTATTTACCATAGAGTACTCGTCGGTTACTCCAATAGGATTAACTGCAAGAAAAACAAATTTTCCATGGCACCGGCGTGACGCTGAGCACATATGACTCGGTATGGAAGTTCACGCGTACTTGGTCTAGGTTCAGATGCATGTACCGGGTGGGAATTTTGGGAAAATACCTAGGCGACCAGCCAGGCCGCCCGGGTCCCGGGTGGCCAGCCCGTGCAAGGACCAGGGAAGGTCCCAGCAAAAAAAAAAGAACGAAAAGAAAAATTCCAGAAATTCCGAAAAAACACTATGTTATGCAGAAAAATAAACTGAACAACTTTTGCCTCAGGGTCATATCCAAATTCTTCACCAAATTAAAAAGTAAAAAAATAATGTTTTTAACTTCTTAACTTTTTAAGTTTTTATTTTTTATTTTTTATTTTTTTTGGCCTGGCCGGGCAAGTGACCCCGGGCCACTCTGGTAGCCTAGGAAAATACGGCAAATTTAAATCTCAGGCCTGCAGGTATCGTCCCACCTTTCCAGGGCCTACAGTCCCTCCTGTCGAAAAACCCTTTTTGCAAAGAGAACCACAGGCGGTAAAATCAGCCGCACTTCCGTGCCCCACAAGCAGACTTTGGATCAGATCTTGGCATGTCTTTTGTCGTATTCACTGGTATACAACAAGCCTATCAGATCTAGTAGCCTGCCCCACAGTGCGTTTTTATCCCGCCTCTGCATCCAGCGTAGGCCTGCAATTACCCCTGTTTCCGGGTTACTTAGCTTCTTCAGCTCTTCTGCCAACCTGCAATTACCACTGTTTCCGGGTAACTTAGCTTCTTTAGCTCTTCTGGGTTACTTTGAGCTTCTTCAGCTCTTCTGCCAACGAAAGAACCGCACAGCCGGTCAGATCTTCATCGTTGCAGTTTCGAAAGAATGCGGAGAAAAAATGTGTTGGCCACGACAGTGAATTTTGCACCTGAGGTCCATAGGAGACAACGTCCTTGTACGTACGAAACCAGAGCTGCTCGTGGGCCCAAATGGTCCCTGCATTGTTGACCTTGTGGGCCATGAGTACTGACTGTGAGGAACGAGCCCTCAAGGAGCCCTGTCAGACATCACATGTTCTGGGCTAAGGGCCCAGCAAGCCGAGTGCCCGCCCTAAGTGAAGGCGGGCCTGAATATTCGTCAAAGGCCAAATTAGTAAATTACAACATTTCCATATGTGGGTATTCAGGCTCTCGCAGCACGCCAGTTGGTTGGGCAGACCCGTGAGCCGTACTAAGCTGCGTCGTACAGTTGGCCCAGGCCTTGACAGTTGCGCCTGGGCACATACACACAAAGCAGGGGTGATACATTGGGAAGCAGGCCATCGGCCTTTGGAAAAGCAGAACTGCTGACGCACCGACCTGGGGGGCCTGCACAGATGCAGCAAACAGCCCAAGTCCGGAGACTCAGGCCGTGCCCAACTGAAAAGGGCCCAGGCCCTCCACTGTAGTATCGGGCCTGGGCGCAGGGTCTGAGGCCAACCGGAAGCTACTGGAAGCTTCCAGCCAGGCCACACGCAGCATCCAGGAGGCTGGCCAGTGCAAGCAATGCGGAAGTGCTGCTGCGCTATCGCTTGATGCTGCGCTGCTGCCAAGGGCGCTGACGGGGCGCGTAGAGGTGAAGTGGGGCGCTGCAGGGCAGTGGGGCGCAGGCAGCCATAGCCGGGCTGCTGGGCACCAGGGGGTGCAGCGGACGATCTGGTGGTCTTCAGGGAAGGAGGCGAGTGTGGGGTAATCAAGGTCTGATTGAGGGTGACGAGATACGTACCTGGTGCATGAAGTGAAACGGTTTTCACCTTTCTGCAGTCACAGAAGTGGGCCCTAGAGTTCGATCCCCAGACCTCACTTTGCCCATGTACAGTATCGAGTCGACACCCGAGTGTTTGAACCCGTGACCTGTGTTTTGGTAGTTGTTTGTCGTCTGTCGTAGGT